ATAGTTACCAGTCTTTTTTCTCAGTGCACATATGGTACGATTATGCAGTATCTAATCTTAATACGGAGCCAGTACCAATAATACAGTTTTTTTTATATTAGGCCCAGTACTGAGCCAGTACTAAAACCAGACATCCGCCTTTTGGTATCGACTCAATATCGGGCCATTTTTCCGTACTGGCGAAACGTATACGTTTCCACAATTAGATCCGTGTATTGCTGTTTTGATTTGAAACTTCTTGCAATTTTGCTCGATCGCCTTTGGGAGAGTAGAAAAGGAGAGTCGAGATCGCGACACTCCCCAGCCCGGAGCGGGCTCTGACGAGAAGGACGCGCGTCGAGGCGATCATCTAGAACTCATCATCGTTTCGCTCTTCTGGACCCACGTTGGTCCCGGTTTAGAGATTGGTTCGGGCTTTGGTGAGCAGATTGGACGATGCAGGTTAAGCTCTCTCGTCGCGCGAGGAGAGCCGGTAGAGGCGAAACCGAACGAGTGGGCTCGCACTGGATGCGTAGCTCGGGAGCTCGCCATTATATTCGCATTATAATCCCATCAGGGGATTCCTCCGCTTAGCCGGACAGCTACGAAAATACGAAGCGCATGGCCCTACCCTATCCCGGGCCCGCCCTGTTTCGCAGCCTGACTTAGGCGAGAAAAAGAAGTCGACACAATGGAATCGTGCTTTTTGGCTCACAGAGAGCCTTGGAAATTCCCCACTTGTGAGCTCTCCGTGAGCGGAACGAGCATGCATCTTCCGACACGTGGAATTCGCACGCCGCACGATCGCCTCCGTTTTCCTTGTCATTGCTTACGCGTCGCGGTGAAAGCCACCGACGACGATAACCTACTCTGATGCGAGTGGTCGCAGCTGCTGGCAACCCTCACGAAAGGTGGAATCCCAGTTACGCACTGACAAGCGAGCCGGAGCACGTTTGTTACGTACGCGTGTGTAAAGTCGCGGATAGATAGACGCCTTTTTTCCACCAGTTCAGGAACATATCCCTCTTGTCCAGTCCAGGAGAATTTATTTTCCACTCTCCTCCCCCCATTGGACAGAACGGATACATTCTTAAACTCGACAAAAAGAAGGAGGACAATGATCGATCTGTCTGCTATTGCACATGCACAAAGTGTCTCTCGACAGACCTCAGCATAGAGTGCGACCAAGTGCCTATAGGCCAGATTTATGGCCAAGAAGTTTTGAAACCATTTTGGGTTTAAAATAAAGTTTATGGTGCGTAGATTACAAATACACAGGTGCCAAAGTGGAACCTCATATTCCAGAGATATTGTCCATTGAAAATTCCACTTTCACAAGATGGTGCCAGTGCATTAAACTGTAGCCGCGCCAAACACCTTTATATCTTTTTGAACTTTATTATGTTGATGAATAATACAGATCGATTTAATTTGGAAGGAACTGCACTTTCCTCTCGCGAAAGCATGGTGCTATTTGGAATTTTCAATGGACCATATTTCTGGAATTCGACGTTCGAATATTTTGGCACTTTTGTAATCTACGTACCATCAATTTTATTTTAAGATCAAAATGGCTTCACTTTACGGCCAAAAATCTAGATCACCCTTGGCCGCATTCTTTTATATCTTGCCACGTTCGCTCCTACCACGATCTATATAGAGAACTCTAGCTTTATAGATACCTAGAAGAATCTACAAAGAATCCTTCCCACAACCCACTTTATATTTTTTTACAATTATGTAAAACAGATAATTAATGTTGGATAACATAGATAAAAGAACGTTTGTCGTCACATACGACATTAATTTCTAGTGAGAGATCGTTGTGTCACATATACTGAGAAGAAAAACACTTGAAAATTTATTTGATATAAAGTTTATTCCTGTGAATAAATTTTATATTCCACAAATAAATTGAAGTATTTTTTTGCAGTGTATGTGACATTGATAACGAACGTGTTAAAGGATTCTGAGTTGAAAGGTTGCAAAAAAGGTACTTTTCCAAAATGTATTGTAGAAAAACGAAATAAACCAAATAACATCAAATTTTGCATATTCTTTAAGCCTTATCTAAAAAGTATATTTTTATTGTCTAAAGACAAAAGTACTCTTTTGTATACATTATTTATATACGTTTTTTCTTTCGCAAGCTTCTAGTGATCAGAATGACATATAAAAGAAGAACGTTTCTGTTACTGTATTGTCATTAGACAATAAAAATATATTCTTAAAATAAGATTAAAAGAATATGCAAAGTTTTATATTATTCATTTTTTTCGTATTCTTATAAAAAAATTCCAGAAAAATACGTTTTTTTTATGACCTTTCAAACCAGAATACTTTCTTAAATAAAAAAAGAACGCAGGTGCCGCGGAACAACCGACTTCTTCTTGAACTATGGCTACTTTTTACTTGTAACAATGTGTTTGACAAAACGACGAATCTTGTACGTGCTACAATGTACTTTGATCCCAATGTCATGCCGGTAGATCGCGATTGTATTATTCGCTTTCAACTGAGAGAGAACGACAATACAAATCTTAATTTGACAGGCATCTTCGCAAAATCTTTTTGTCCACAAAAATCGTAGCAATCATTATATATGTGTGTGTACACACACACACACACACACACACACACACACACATACACATATATATCGTATATGTGTGTACTTTTGCAATATACATGCAGAGTAACGTGCGCGCATCGGTTTACTTCCGTCGAATGCATGCACGCGGCACGCGGTCAAGAAGCAGAGGAGAGAGAGAGAGAGAGCGAGAGAGGGGGGAGGGAGAGAGGAATGAAAAGACGGAGAAATCTAGAAGAAGGAGAAGAAGAAGGGATATGGAGGACGCAGAGGAAAGGTCGGAGAAACTGTAAGCTGAAGAGAGGAAGGTAAAGGGAGACGTTGGATGATTAGAGCGAGGAAAAAGCAGACGAGGAGAAGAGGAAGAGAACGATACGGACGACTCCCCGCGCAGCTGCTTCCAGTTTCGCCTTCCTTTTTCTTCCTCTCGAATCCTTCCCCACCTTCTTCTCCGCTTCTACCTCCCAGAGATTTTCTCTCTCTCTCTCTGTCTTTTTCTCCCTCTTCTCTCCTCTCGCCCTTGCTCGCTCTCCTTTTCTCACTTTGAGCTCCATCTTCTTCGACTCCTCCTCTCTCGCTTTCTATCTCGTTTCTTTTACATCGCTCTCGTTTACTCCTTCCCCTTCTCTCTCACACTGCCTTCCCCCCGTTCCTCTCGTCTCATTTTCTCTCTCGCTTCCTCCTTCTGTACGGCCGATTCTTCGTATTATACCAGGTTGCGGCGTGGAATGCGGGCGTCCTTCGTCCGCTTCGAGCAGCGTCCAACCGATGAGCCCCGCTAGCGTTATCCTTCGCCGGTCCTTCGCATGCGCTCCTTAGGGCTCGGTAAAATTAACCTGAAATACTTGCTCGAGAAACGCCCGTCTCTCGCTCTCCTCTTCGCTCTCCTCGCTTTCGCAAAACCCGCTGATGCGCCCGACGCGCTCTCTCGGATTTATCGCTAATGAAATTAGCGCGACTTATTTGAGCACAGCCATCAGCGCGCCGTCGGATTTATAAAAGGCAAACTACAATTCTCTTTTTTTCTCCAGTCGTTTTGCAAAAACTGCGATTGTCTCGCGACGTAAAAGAGAAATGCGTAAATACGATGGGTATCACAAGTGTGCCTTGACGTTTGGTAGACACACTTTTTTAAACGTGTCCCAATCATTCAGATAAATGATAAGTAAGCCATCACTTTACGTTGAAAAAATTCGTAAAAGTGTTATTTTTTATTTTTTGTTCTTAAAAATGCTATTGTTTGTCACTTTGGTGATTGCAAACAACACAGTTCTTACCTAAAATCCGAGCGTGGTACTTGCAGCACGAAGAATAGCGTGGCGTCATTTTTTGTGTTTTTTCCTAATTATTACTTTTTAAGTCCTATATATATTTATATAAATCACTTTTCTATACATAGAAAAATATTTGTTGCATTCGGGTAAATGATACATGTTTTAAGTATTTCATAAGTTTATAGTTCCGCGAATTCACAATGAGTTCATCATATTTATTCAAAAGACATTCTAGTGAGTTTAGTATATCGATCAAGAATATTAAATTGAAACAAAAATCCGGTTTGCTTATCGCAGAGATTCGAATTAACTTTTTCTTTAATAAAGTTTGATGTTCTTTTAAAGAGAATAAATTCTTCTTTTAGAGTATATGATAATGATAACTTTTCTAAAATTTGTGATATGCATATTTTAAGGTTATTATCGAGAAAATATTGTTTGTTGAAGATAATCATTATATAAAAAAGGAAAGTAAGCGGAGTAATTAGTTTTCTTAGCACTAGAATGATTTTTTCTGAGAGGAAACATCTAAAAAATAAAACACATATATTTATTTGGTGACTAATAATATTTGCTTAAATGTAAATTCTTTTACTTAATTGAACAAACCATTATTTTCATAAAAAGCTAAGAGATTTTAAGAAAACTTATATTCTTTATTCAAAAATACTTTATGTTAGTATAAGTAAATATATTATTAGTACTCACCGAATGAATATTTTTTGTTTCTGTTTTCTTTCAGAAGTACTAGAAATATAGTAAAATTAGAAAGAATTATATGAAGGGGAAAAACTATAATATTCTCTCCGCGTAAAATTATACGATTACGACACATTATTGCTAGCTACATGAAGAAAACAAGTCCGTAACTGAACAAGTCCGTAGTGTAACTGAATTTTCTATGAACCAGATGAGAAACTCGGTTGTAGGAACAGAAAGATTCCTGTAGCAGGTTTCTACTTAGCCAATAGTGTTACGTCAACCGTGTTTTAATACAGCTGAACGTTCGGACGAATGTTTTCGGTCACAGTGATAGAGATATTATTTCAGTGAGTTTTTCGTCTGGCCTCCATTGCGTCTTCTTCTCTCTCCAATTGCGGGAACTATTAAACTGTTTTTTTCATCGATTACAATCGGTGTTTGTTTGCGTGTTGCAGGTGCATCCGTGAAGTGTCGCAGGCGGAGGATTCAGGGGCCGGGAGAATCTAGGTGAGTTCTCTTTTCCCCGATCGATATTCGATTCGAACGTCTGAGAGATTACAGCACGAAGTGGTGTGTATGTCGTGTGCGTACGTGGGTTAGGCGACAGTTTCCCGAAAAGTGGAGAGAATAATGTTGGTATCAAGGAAAATCTCTATACGATATAATTGAAAGATTCTGTTCTTTGTAACTGCACTGCTGAACTGATGCAATAAATTGAAGTGAGGCACGTTTTCTCACTCTAACCTTTTGCATTAGTTCAGCAGTTACAAAGAACAGATCTTTAAATTATATCGTGCAGAGATTTTCCTTGATACCAACATTATCTCCTCCATTTTTCGGGAAACTGTCGCCTAACCCTACGTGAATAGCCAGTCGATTCTTATATTAAAGATCTTAAATATTGTATAGTAAATACTGTTAAGTATTTAAGATCTTAAGTACTGTCTTACAATCATATCAATCAATCACAGAGCCATATTAGCATCTTAAGACATTATTTGAGACAACCTTGATTAGATCCGACTATGAATCTAATGAATACCGGCCATAGTGTGTGTGTACACATTGTGTGCACTGAAAAATTCATTTAGTTGGGTAAACCAAAATTTGCTCAAAATAGCCGAACAAATGTTTCGGTTGTGAGGACCAAAATTTCCTTCTTTCCACCAAAGATTTGATTCTCTGAAACTAAACCTGTTTCATTTTTGTTTAAAAAAATCAAACCTTTGGTTCAAAATATTAAATATTGATTCTCACAACCAAAACATTTGTTCCACCTTATTTTAACCAAATTTTGATTGACTCAACTAAATGAGTTTGTTCAGTGTGTGTTCCGTTGTTTCCACTTCGCGGCAGCATCGCACCCACGGGAGAAAGATTTGTTTCGCGGCGAAGAATGCGCCGCATTACAATGTGAACGCGTGTTGCGGCGATGCGATACCGCAACTCGGTAATTTCCTTTAATTGCCGGGAACGTTAGGCGAGTCACATCCGCAATCATACTCGGCCGCGTCTTGCGCCGCGATGGCCGCGAGCCCGCGCGAGCACGTCGCCAGAGATTCGAATGGAATTTTTCATCTCTCCTCTCTTTCTCAGATCGCGATCTTAATTGAAGAGCGGCGTCCGGGGATACGCGTACGCGTCACGACGCGACGTACATACCGCGACGCGGAAATACAAACACGTTATTACACGGAGAAAAATAATTTTGCTCTTTTAGCACACAGAGAAAAATAATTTGCTGGCCCAGCAAATTTTCTGCTGGTCTAATATATATATATATATTAGAAATCAATCTTTTAGCTATCACAACTAAATAACTTTGCTATGGAAGCAAGAAAATTTGCTCCTGCAGTTAATAGTTTTAATTGTCCATATATTAGCAAATCTTTTTTTTCCGTGCACACATCGCATATAACGCCTCGAGTTACACTTCGACTTTGGGCCAAAGGATTCGCAATTGAGACTAAACTAACTGGTTATATCGAATGCATGTAATAGCAGAAAAAAGTAATAGCAGGAAACATAATCACGTATATATAGAAATCTTTTTACAAACTTTTGGTATATTTTTGAGCTTCTACATTGAGGGAAACATTATATTAAATTCAACAAATATTTCTTTGATGGATGCCATTAACATATTTATTTAAATCTACATACTCTTTATAGCATGTAACGAGCTGTCCTTCGATCGACACTTTGGACGTTGCGCGAGTCGCGTTAAGGGCATGCCATACTTGAAAAATGTGACAGAAATGACAGGAAATTTTTAAATTCACATCTCTAGTTGACGTAAATGTTTATACTTAATACAAAAACTTTTACGTGCAAGCTTTTGTTACGCTAACAAGAATTTCAAACATTTCCCTGTATTTTTACAATTGAATGTACACTGAGGGAAGAATTATCTTAAAATCAACAAATATTTCTTTGATGGGAGTGCCATTAACATATTTACTTAAATCTAAATTCTTTTTATTTAAATAAAATATTGTTTACCTGATTTAAATAAATAATATTTGGTTTAAATAAAGAGTATGTAGATTTAAATAAATATGTTAATGGCACCCATCAAAGAAATATATGTTGAATTTAATATAATTTTTCCCTCAATGTAGAAGCTCAAAAATATACCAAAAGTTTGTAAAAAGATTTCTATATATACGTGATTATGTTTCCTGCTATTACTTTTTTCTGCTATTACTTCAGCTTATATTGCCAGGAAGAGACTTGATTTACATTTCCATCTACCTCACTCATGCTCATCCTCACACCTACTCCTATTCTGCATGTCATATATATTCATATAAAGGAGAGAAAAACATATAGGAGAGAAAAATGCTGTTGTATCAATAGAAATTGCCAACATCGCCGTACAATTGGAGTAAATCTTCTTGAATCAACAGCAATGCCATTGAAACTAATACTTGAGTCATCGAAATAATATATGATGTGTTAGTCCCAATGGTATTGCCGTTGAATTAAGAAGATTTATACTCTGACGATTTCTATTGATACAATAACATATATTTCTTTTTCCGTGTACAAGAAATACGTAAAAAATAGTACGATTGCGTTGGTGACGATCGCCTTTACGCTATCAACACTCTTCGAGTCCCATTTTGGCATCCACTTTGGCATCTCCTTAATCGTGAATACATCGATATACACACCCGAGAGAAGAGAACGCGTCGGTAGCTGCTCCCCAGCGCGCTCGCGCGCGACCACGACGTTACTTTTACTTCATATTGACTCGCGCTATAATCGCCAAACGTGATTACAGCGTGGATCGATCTTAATTTAAACCGAGCAATAAAAATGAGCGATGCATTCCTGCCCGCAACGAGAGGCGCGCGAAACCGGTAGCCATTTCGTTCGCGGCGGCGAACGACGTCATTATTTTCTCATTCCCGTTGTTCGTCCGAGTGCACGCGCCTTTCCTCTTCTTCTTCTTCTTTCTCCTCTTCTTCGTCTTCTCCTCCTCCTCCTCCTCCCCCTCTTTCTCTCCTTCTTCGTCGATCACGACATGAGCGTGTTTCTAATCCACGGGAAATGCGTACTTACGACGGCCGCACGATAAAAGATGAAGGAAACGCGACTGAAAAGAAGCTGGGAAAAAAATAGAATGGGTTCTTTACGAGCGATAGTCCGCGAGCGGAAATTTCTCGGTTTATTGCGGAAAGTGCCGAACCGATTTACAAGCGCGCACCGAATGCCTATCAGCGAATACTGCGAGGAGAAACGAAGAGAAGTAAGAAAAAAAGAATCCGCAAGGATCGTGCCACAACATGGGGCACGTCTTGGAGAGAACTATATTTCTACGTTCCTTCTACGAATTTACCTATGCATTCCTTCTACATTCCTTCCGCGGATTCTTTCAATCGTCGAAAGACGATTCTAGAGTCGAATCTTCTTTCCCAACACAAATATTTTTGTTTTAATAGATAATAAAACACAATTTTTTTTTTTAATAAATAGCAAACCGAATATTTGTTTTAAAACTTATTTAAGAAAAATTTATTACAGTAAAAAGCAAAAAAATTATTTATTAAAACAAAAAAGTTATTATTTTTGTTTTAATAAATATTAAAACAAAAATTCAGCTTGGTTACTACATCACACTTACGCGCAGAAAACTGATTAGCCGCAGGAGCTAAAATATAACTGTGACAATTAGAATGGGTCGTTGAAATAGGAACAAACTAATACCGTTGTCACCGAAGTTAAATTTATTAGCTTCGGCGCCACAGCAAAAGATATTTGCTGCTATCACTACATACTGTAGTAATAAAACTTTATACTTGCCAAAATTATAAAACTGATACTTCGTATCATAAGTCCAAACCAAAGTTTTCCATTGATCTCTAACACAGATTAATGTTCACTTTAACCCAAACTTTAACCCATCGATGTCTCTCGTTCTTCCATGATTATATTTTTTGATCCTTATTTCACAAGAGCGAGGTTTCGTGCGCCTTGGAAGCCTCGTAATTTCTTCTTTCCAACCATTTTTGTTTCAAGACGCTACGACATTCACGAGTGGTGTTATTGACATTTGTATCGATCGCGGCCGGCCCTACTGTAGCGCGCTGTGGAGTAGGTCAGGGCACGACGCGCGAGTGAAAACAATAGCCGCGTTTCGCAGCTACTCCCTCGTGGCTCAGATAAGGACAGTTACTGCGGTCACGTGATCGCTGCGACTACGTGTCGTTCACTTCACTTTGAAAAAGAAAGAGAGAAAGAGCATAATATATGTGCCGGAACGAGAACCGACGCCAGCGTCGCATAAGCGCGAAACCGGGTGCGAATCTACTGTCGATGCTGGATCTTTAAACAGCTATAACTCGTCCGTGAATCGACGTGACGACATGAAAAAAGAAGCAACCTCTTTGGCAAGCGTCTTTGCCGATTTTCCATTGCTTATTTGGGAAATTCAAGCGTCGCGATTGACTGAAGTAGCGTAGGGCAAACAGCCCAGTAGTGCGATTCTGTAACTAGTTATTGCAGTTGACGACAATCTCGTTATCGTTGCACAGCTTTTCTACAGTACAAAAAAGCTGCGCAATGATAACGAAATTATCGTTAACTGCAACAACGGGTTTAAAGAATTGTACTACTGGTCATATAAGCACACCGCGCCTGTGACAACTAGCCCCGCGCAGTGAGACGGCCGGCTCACTGCACACACACGCCGAGAAACGCGTAACTTTTTTTATTCGCGATCAAATTGCACAGGCTTTCTTCTTCGTGTCATCTATTATAACAGTGACGAGATTTATATTTTCACTGCAGATTAAAGTAAAGAATAATTATCGTAGTTACCTGCAAAATGGTGAAGAATTGTTTTGTTCTATCTTACGCGAGTATTGGTTTTCATTGTTTTAGACATTCTGTATGCACTTTCCCAACGCCAATGAAAAAGAAATATATAACGAAACGATTGTGAGAAAAGACATACAATACTCTCCAAACTTTGTCAATATTCAACATCTTAATACTCCATTTAACCTTTACTTTGATATTCTGAAACTTACATCAACCTCTTTTTATTTACTATAACCTATTAACTTTGTTGAGAAATTATTTTTAGAACCTAAAAGTATTTTGTGAAATTTATTGCTAATTAGAGCTACTAACAAGTAAACTTACCCAAAAAGTACACTCTAATTTCTTTCTAATTTGGCACAAATGTACAAGTACAAAAAATATTTAGGTCGTATTTTTTATAGTATTATATTTTTATATTATACTTATTATTTATTATTTTATATTATACTTATTTATACTTTTATATTATAAGAGGCCGAGAACCATTTTTGACTAATTTAGCATAGATTTAAAATATTTCGGTTGAAATCTCGGCTAAAGAAATTTAGAATGGTTCGTGTCTCAGCTTCGCCGATTTTTGTTAAAATTATTTAACTATTCTTGTATTCAATTTTATTTCTTATGCATTTTTATTGTACTTGTTGACAATAGGAGTGAGAATATTAAAAAGCTATAAAATGCCGTGAAACTCAAAATGGGTTAAAATAAAAAAATATGACCTAAATATTTTCTGTACTTATACATTTGTGCCGAATTAGAAAGAAATCGGTGTACCTTTTGAATAGGTTTATTTGAAAGTACTTTAATTTCCATGTGTATTAAGCATGTACTGATACTTCAGAATATATAAACATTAGGAAGATCAGATCGCAGATAGAGCTAAAATTTTGACTCGAGAAAACTTGTTGTTTTACATATCCACAAATTATACAGGATGTCTGGATTGGTACTCGTGCGCAGGTAGAAAATTTGTTAAATTAAATAGAAAAATCCTGCGATTTTGTACAAACTCTGCCATGACAGTTATTGAGATATTAGTGAAAGGAAAATTGACTAATCAATGCAGGCAATGCGATGAGAGGAGTTATGTAAGATTAAATCCTTACAAAGTCGAATGCTCAAGATTCACGCGCGTAAGATATTTAGAAATAGTTACTACTTTCTTAGCTATTCGAACAAATATTCACTTTTAATTTCAGCTAGTAAACTTATATTTTACAGCGAATGCAATTTTGCTTGTGATAGTCAACTCTTAGCAACAACAGCAAAAGATTTTCAGCTTTTCAACTAAGTTCGAATCAATCACTAAGATTTAACTAATATTACTAAGCCATTTTTCTGCATGTTTCGAGCCAAATTTTTTTTCATAAAATTTTATGATATCTTTGTAAAGAGAGAATAAATTTTTCTTTCGAATACATGATAATGAACTTTTCTCATTTATGATATGAGTATATTTTAAGATTGTTATCAAGAAAATATTCTTTATTGAAGATAACCTTTGCATAAAAAAAGAAAAGTAAAGTGATTATTTTTCTTGGTGCACACAAGAAAATATCATTTTACTGTTAGAAAAGTTGATTTTCATGTACTCAAACGAAGAATTTATTCTTCTCGCAAAAACATAAAATTTTTTCAAAAAAAAAATTGGTAGTATGTAGTAAAACAAACAAAACTTTTGCTTTAATTTAATATTCTTGATTAAAATGCGAAACTTAGTTTTCGTTCAGAATATATTTTGAAAAAAATTTGATGTAGTTGGGGTAGATTTGTGGATGCTCTGAAAGGAAAACAATGAATTGACCTAACGAAAATTATAGTTATTTTTTATCTTAGCCAATATTTCTTGTAATAAGATGTATACAAAGTTATTACCACTAATAGAAGAGTATAGTAGAATTTAATAAAAAATTAATTCTCTTCACTATATTTACAATATTTCTCTACATGTGACCAAAATTTAATCGATATCTTTACGATATATGGTATCTTTTATCTGTACATTTTGCATCACGCATTGGACGAACATCATTCTCGATTGCAGGTTACACTGAGAAAAAAATTTACTAAATTTCAAAAAACACTTGTTTGAATAGTACTGTGAAGATATTGGTTTAAGTTAAGTAATTATTTTCAAAAATTAAATAAAGAAGTTTTAAATATAAATTTGTTTCTTTAATTTTAGAAAATAATTACTAAACAAATATTTTCACAGTACTATCTAAGCAAACGTTTTTTGAAATTTAGCAAATTTTTTTCTCAGTGTACAAGTACCGAACTTTTATCTCAATGTACAAACTAGTGAGATACTTGAGACGAGTGACATTTGTAACGCTGTACGCGTGTTCCCGCGTACAGTGGAATGATATTTTCTGTGTGCACGACTTGACGTTCCATCAGGCGGTGCGAGGTCGGCTGGAGTTGACCGAAAAAATCCAATTTCGCTGTGCCTCCTCTCCTCGGGCATTTTACCGTTGACGGCGAAACGTCAAACGTGAAGGAGCTCGCGTCGACCGGAACGAAACGGGACAGATTCCGAGGGAGAATCCCGAGGAGAGCGGCTCGCCGCGCGCGCGCGCGTAGGCGGATTTTCGAAGATGGTTATTTCGGCTACGGTATACGCGCGCGCGTTATTTCCTTACGTATATATAAGACCTGCATGACGCGGGTCGTTGCTTGCGCTCGCTCTGTATGTCACCGTATGGCGCGCGCGCGCGCGCACGCACGCGGCACACACACGCACACACGCACATAGACGGGGGACACCAGTCCGACGGCATTCCATCGTGATTTGCGAACGTTTCGGTAAACGTGTACAGCGCGCCCGTGGTCCGTGGTGTTTACGTCTGTACGTCGCGCTGGCATTCCGCCGCGCGACTCACGTTGTATGAAAATCGGCTCGATTCTAGGAAGACCGAAATTAGAGGCTCGATTCGCGCGAGGCGGAATCGGCCATACGCGCGCCGCTCGAACGAAGTCTCTCCTCGGGCGAAATGAATAATTATTTCCGAATAACGAACAGTCCCATCGCCGGTCGCGCGATCAATCAAGCTCGCTCGATTTCGCTCGTCACGCGCATTAAGACTCGCGTTAAACATCCTGGACGCTGCAGCGACACTCGGTGGTCGTGTCCCTCCTCGATGCTCCACGTGCTCCGCGGATAAATGCGCGAGTGATGAATGTTCAGCACGCGTTCTTACGATGACGAGCTTCTTCGTCGATTTTCATCCGTTTTTTCTGCACTCGGCCCGCCACGATCGGACTCAGCAAAATAGGATCGATCTCGGCCGGATCTTCCTTGAAAATCCATTTCGCGGCCCAGCTGGCCGCCCATCCGGCGACTACGGCAACGAGGAATCCCAATGGACAGTACCACATGTAGGAGATGCGATAAAGGTAGAAGTAGGATTCGTTCGCCTGTGACCTGCAATCGAGAGCGAAGCTCGTTTAGCCGTCAAATGCGTGATGCAAAATGTACGAAAGATACCAGATATCGTAAAGATTAAATTTTTCTCGACTCAATAATCAACCTGAACGTTTCAGTTCAACTGATCGCGGCGATAGATTCGAGCAAAATCAAGAATGAAAGAAAATCGAAGAATGTTTAATCGCCGATTGATTCCAACGAATTCAATTAAAGATCGTTCAATTGGCAATTGATTTGAGCAAAGAGGATCAAAAATTGTTCAATCAGAAAATGTACTTATAAGAGAAAGTCCTGTGTTTCATTGATTTTGAGTTTAGATTAGTATAGAATTGTTCTAGGGGGTATAATTAATACAAATTTCCATTTTCACCTTCTATCTGTACGTTAAAAAATGACAGTATTTTATAATTCTCAACAATTTAATAAAATTAAAAAATTATAATAATTAGTCGCATTATAGAAAAATTTACTCGACTTTAAATTAAAGAACAAGAGCCATTTTTATTCTGTATTTTTTACAGTAAGGCAAGTTAGAATAGAGATTAAAAGTAAAATTACCATCTCTGTTTTGTATTATATTTATATAGAGATTAATATATATATATTTTTTTTTCTACCAATATTTTCAACGAAAGTTAGCAAATTAAAATTAGCAAAAACTTATTTTGTTCTTTTTTATTTTATCAAATTGTGAAAAATTATAAAATTCTGCATGCTGCCATTTTTTTAGATGCAAAGATAAGGGGTGCAAATGGAAATTTGTATTATTTAAACCCCCTAGAGCAGTTCTAAACTCAGAATAGATGAAACATTTTAGGTTGTTCCTTGTTAGCAAATTTAATTAAAAGCCGTTTAATTGACGACTGATATGAACAAATTCAATAAATTCAATCGAAGGGCGTTCAATTATTCAGGATTATAATTGGTTACATTGGTTTTGTGGATTATATTCATATCCGAGGCATTGTGGAAGATGCTTGAGGTGATTGAGAGAAACACCAAGTAGGGCCCGCGTTGAGA